GATGGTGGTTAGTGGTGGGTTGGAGTAGGGTGGGGGTGGGGTAGGTAGCGGGGTGGTAGATGTGAAGATGATAATGGTGAGATAGTGGTCGGGTGGCTGGGGCCTGGGAGTGCGTGGGTATAATGACAACAATAGTGGCATGGTGGTTAGTGGTGGGGTGGGGGTGAGTGGCAGCTGTGATAGCGACAATAATGGTGTGGTGGTGAGGGTTAGGTTAGGGGTGTGACAGTAACGGTAGTAGTATGGTCGTAGCAGGGATGTGCAGCGAGTGACCGAGGGTGGGTGGGTGTGATGACAACCATAATGGCATGGTGGTTAGTAGTGGGGTAGGGTGGGTGGCGGTGACAGTAGTGGTGTGGTGGTGGTAGTGGGGGGTTAGGGGTGGGGCATCACAAACAGTAGTAGCATGGTCGTTGTGGGTGTTGATGGAATTCAATTCCTTCCATTATGTTAAGGAATGATGAATTCCTTAACTTGTGGAATTCATTGGAATTTGAATGATTACATCTATTTCAAGATATTAACCAAACAAAGGAATGTAATTTGGTCAAAGGAATTTATCATTCCAATTCCATCAAATTCCTTCGAATTCCGCGAACCAAACGGCCCCTTAGATATCTTTATTTTCAATCCTTTTAAGTGAACTTTTAGTGTTTTTTACTCTTTTTCTAAAATTAAAAATGTGATTAAAAATAATTTGAAAATATGCCATTACAATTTCTATGCTTTTGATGCATAACTTAATTATTTATTGTTACATAATTACACATGACAAGTATTTTTGGATTTTATTGACACATCGACCATATAAATGATGCCTATTGATAGCTATAAAAGGTGGACATATTTTTCACATGTGAAATTCTTTTGGGTCTTCAATAATGAACTTGGACCACAATGATGTGATGTAAATACACCTAGGCTTATGTAGGATATTTGTTTTTGGGTAGGATGTGTGAAAAGTGATTTTAACTATTTATTAATTAATCTTTTTGAAACAAATAAACGTATTTTTATAATAAATCATACTATGTTTACATATAGAAATCATTTATACTAGATTCTATTGTTCCTTTTTGTCTGTTAATTATATAGATATATGTTATCTATTTATTGAGTAAGAATAAAAAGATAAATTATGTAAATTTATATTTAATAAATTAATGGTATGGTTTTTATGGCTTTGTATTTCATGGTATCGAGATTGAGAATGTGAGTTTTTTTTAGAGGAAGGGATATATTTAACAAAACTTTTTTCATATCATCGTCTTATCAATTTTTAATTTAAAATATACGAAATATATTGAAAATGAGACGTAAACGAATAAAAGCAACTTAATTAACCTATCAAGAATAACATCATTGAATCTCTGACATACAATGTTTTATGAAAATTGATCAAAATAGCCACTTTTCATAGATTCTTCCCAAAATAGCCCAATTTTACGTAGAAGTTTGATTTCTGGGAGAAAAAAACGGAGAAATATGAATCTTTATGTGGAAATATTTATAATTTTCTGCTTAAGGATTCCAATTTCTACGTAAAGATTCAAAATTTTATGTAAACTTTGATTAAAATAGAAATATGACTGAAAAATGAAGTTGGTTGAAAAAATTAATTATTTTGGTCAATTTTTAAATATTTTATCTTAAAGAAATCTTAAGCTTCACATTTTCATTAGGAACACATGATTGTCAAAGGATAAAGAATGCAACTCATGACAACTTCCATGCATATTATCATAGATCTTCTATAATAAACTGAAGCTGTAATTTCAATCAAATAAGAATAGTTTTTTTTATTGGTAGATTATTCCAGTAAAACGGAATCGAATCCGATTCTCATATTTATTTCTTAATTCTTAGCAATTCTTGTAATGTAAAAAAGAACAATTTGAATGTTTAACTTTTTAATATTGAACAGAAGGACCATATTTTTTTTGCAGTTGAGATAGGACCTTCCTACGCCCTCAAATATAGGTTAAGGGATTTGGTTAGCATACGCCAACGGTATTTACCGATGTGTCACGTTCAAAAATTTAATGGTTTCAATAAATGCAAGAATTTATTTGTTAAAAAATGTCTTAAGTTTATAGGTCAGAAGGATGGAGAATAGGGTAGGAATCGGTAAAAATATTAAAGTATGTTGATTTTCAGACTTTTTTCAATTATAATGATTTAATTATTATTTTATAAAATTATAAAATTTTAATGATAATAAATGATTTTTATTTATTTTAAAATATTAAATAATCATTTTATGTTTATTATCATGCATATTAATGTTAATTAATTAATACATTAATATTTTGGTATGTAGTTATGATAACAAATACTTAATTACATGTTCTTTTTGCTAATTTTAATTGAAATATGATTTTGTATATTAATGTGGCATTTGAAATATCGTGTTGAAATCATCCCATAATTTCAAGTTAATATTAAAGTTAGAAAGATACATAAGAAATTACTGATAATTCATCATAACATACAATCTAACTCTAGTATTTTTTTACCATATTTTTTAACTCTAGTACTTTCATTATGTGGTTTTGAATCCTAGGTTTATTAGATTTCTTGTTTTTCAATTTTTAATTTTAAGTTTTTTGTTATATTTGCTGACAAAAACAAAATACATATCAATAGATCTATAATGATCTTTGTGTAATAATTCTATAACTTTCAATTGTTTGAAAAATCTTCAACATACACATATGTAATACCAAGGAGGGACTCAAGAATTTTTGGATATGGTGACACAATATAAAACGGTTGTACATTTTAGGAATCTTATTTTTTTTACCTTACTAAGAATAATACGGTGGCACGTGCCACCCCAACCACCCCTCCGGGTCCGTCCTTGTGTAATACCTTAATCCTTGTAAGTAACCTACTTTTCTTTCGGAATGATATGCTTGTCGAGTTTGAATTAGGAGTGAATTAGGTTTTTTATCCTACGATATGTAAAAGATTATCTCTAGATTGAGTCCTTACACTCTTAATTATGGATATAGTCCGACAGTTTCCATTTTTTTTACGACTACATACCGTAGAACAAATCACCATCCAACCGGTTTCAACTAATACGGTGGAGATGGTTTGCAGATAAGCCATTAATGGATGGGAGATCTGTTTCATCATCGTACTTGACCTCAACCAAATCTAATTCATCATCTGATTCTTCATTCTCACCCATATCTCATCCTACTATCTTTTCTGGTTATTTAGATTTGGTTTATGATTTGATTTAGGGTGTAAATTTTGGCTTGATTTHTGTWCTTTATTTAGGTTTTGTTTTTGATTTTGATGAATGTTTTTTGATTTTAAGTTAGATTTAGATTTAATTGTATCACAAACTTTTTGGAATAAAATTGTAGTACATTGTATTATAGTATATTGTTGGGTCTTGATRTTCTTACATTCATATGAAAAAGACGAAAATTCAAACCAACAAGAGGAAAATGACAAACGATTGACGTACCCTCATGGTTGGTAGTTGATATGTGTTGAGAATTTAACACTTAAAGTACTCATTTTACATCTTTTTAGTTATAATAATTTCTTTTCATTCCCACTTTAAGTCATTTTTATTTATTTYTTTATACATTTGTTATTATGAAGCTAAATATTGTGGTTGACTTGTTGGTATGCTTGGATGAAGCTAATTGAGAATTTTTGTGAAAACAGCAGACGCTACAGCATTGGCACAACATTGGTCTGATTCATGCGCAGCTTTTTRGAGGGCTTAATGGATAAGACGCTGACTTGTTGGCTRGTGGAGGACAGCTGTAAAAGCTGTGTTTTTAGTTAAAAATATGATGTTTAGACTTTGGTTAGGCCATTGTACTTTTTAGTTACTCTTTTGTTGCCMTRTAACTTACTTTTGGATACTTAGCCTCCAAGTCTTTTGTTTTTGTCTTATAGTGACCMCTTTTGAGTATAAAAGGAAGGCTTGGGGTGCCTTCTAAACCATCCATTACTCCATCTTTTCTTCCATTGTATTCCATTAGCTAGCTAAGTGTTTTCGTAAACGACGTTCCATTGTTTCATTCGAGTTTTTATAAAACCAATCACACTTCTTGACGGGTTGATCACTTGAAAGTRTTAAARTGCGATGGACTTAGAGATAAGCCATCAATAAGCACGTCAACTTGGATGACATAAGAGGTAGGCTTGAGAAAGTTGCCGACAAGGAGACATGTCATTTATGTTTTTCAAAACTTAACTCCTGACGGGTTGGTCACTCTTCGAAAGTGTCAAAGTGATAGATTCAGAGATGAACTATCAAGAACACGCCAACTCGAATGATATGGGAATCGACTCGAGAGAGTGATTTTTAACAAAGATATTTGTTTATCCATATATTTTGAAAACACCATCGTGTCACTATCCCCGGTCCGGACACCACATAGAGATATGGGTGGAAAGCTATAAGATAGTGAAATGGTGAAGTTCGAGAGGAATGCCTTCAAAATAGATGGTGGAACTTAGTTTYGAAACACTGCTTGCTGTAGCATTCCTATAGCATTGGYTGCTGGAATTTGTGTTTGGGTCTCATCTTAAGTCTTGCACCCTTGCTTMTTTTATATATTCTGTATTATGTTTGGATTCACCTTACAATCAAGCAAAAGTCTTCAAAATCRTCATTTGAAATCATCTCTTTCATTGGACTCTAATCTAACTTTGGCTACAATCTCTGTGGACGATAATCCGGTATTTGTACCACTTTATTACTTGGAAAGACGACGTTGGGCCGTATTGTATACTTGCTTTGTGGCCTAATTTCATTAGTCTGAAGATGTGAAATATAACCGACCAGTAGTCGACAGAGATTGCGRACGATCGTTAATTTGGTTTAGAGTTCTAAAAAAATGACAACTATTAGGASCAAATTTGTAATTAACGGAATACAAGGAATGTAGTTCACTCTTGTCCATATTTTCTTATAAATATCTGGTTGATATTGAGCATCAAATCTAGTTGTTCTTACTTTCCTCATCATGTCAACTTCTCCAACTCCACCAACAACACCAGAATTGAAAGAAGATGCAGAATACAACAAGWTTTGCGAGAAACATCAACACTTGATACAAACACTTCGCAAAGGCAATGGATGGATGGTACAACACCTCTATAACTACAATGGCTTCTGGTTGAGCACCTATTTCATCAAAAACATCTTACTTCTCAATGCCTTCTTTAAACCTCAGTCTTCAGACGTATTCTTGGCCTCCTTCATGAAGTCTGGCACCACCTGGCTCAAAGCACTCATGTTCTCCACCCTTAACCGCCACCGCTACACCTTCTCCGACCACCA